TTTATTTTTGTTAATTATTTTTATTTTAAATTACACACGTAGATATTTCCTGCCTTGCTTCCTGCGTCTCCTTTGCATTCTTGGTTCCGATCTACACCCCATACACAGTTGTCACAGTAAAAATAAAAATGAAAAACAAAAGCCTCCCATACAATCGTGCTTTTATTCAGTTTTTAAATGGACATTAAGCCTTGGGCTTAAAGACTATCCAAATAAAAATCAGTTTTAAAATAGATACTTATTTGGGTAAAAAATGCTCCCTACAAATAAAAAACCCACAGTGTATCTTTGGAAGAAAGTTTCTCATAGTGTTTGTCAGAGCTTTAATACTCATTTCTCCTTAAATAGCTTTATATATATATATTTATATATATATATAAATAAAAGCAAAAAGTCCCTCTTAGGAAGTGGCACTCAGAACTTCAAGTCCATGATGAATTACTTGGGTTTAGTCTGACTGGAAGAGCACATACGCGCTGTCTGTAGAGCTTCGATGCATCAAAACCACGGAAGTCATCACAAACCACCAGGTTTTCTGGTCTCAAATTATGGCAAGCCTCATAACGAGCTGCGTTCATAGCGAAGGTATGATAAAATTCAAAATATATCCTGGTAGGATAAAATGCCTGTCGTGGACCAACAGATTATGCTTGGCAAAATCAAATGCTTTGCCAATATCATCTGGAATGCTGCAATCCTAGAAATAGCAGTGGCAATGACACATATAGCAATAGCCCGTGTTAAACTGAAGTGCTTAATTGGGCTATATATGTATACATATGTATGGAGTATATATACTGACACTGTGCATCCACAGTAGATGGTATTATGGTAATATCATAACAATTACATTTACATAATATACTTCAGTACACTAACATTGTTTACCTACAAATCAGTGACATGGAAAAGCATGTAGTAGATGGTATTATGGTAATATCATTAACAATTACATTTACATAATATAATTCAGTACACTAACATTGTTTATCTACAAATCAGTGACATGGAAAAGCATGAACACACCTGAAATAAAACAGCTTTAAATCACTAATAGTTCGAGAATTTGTTATTTGTTAAAGAAATATATTATCCCAGAACATTACTTTTATCATTTTCTCTTAGACTATAAGGACAAATTTTCTAATATTTATGAAGCCTATGTTGATCAGTTGGGAGGCAATGTATCTATTTTCCCTGCAAGCAGTGACCTTCTCCAGAAAAGACCCAGACATACACATGTTTTTTTGGAATGATGACTTGAAGCAATCATAAAGCCAAATATCTCTCTTAATATTTATTTCATGTTTGGTGAATTATACAACTCAAATAAGATATAACATTTCCTATGCAGTTAGAAGTCTTGGTTTCTTCTATCATCTCTAAGGAGATGATAGAGCTCATATGGATTTTTAACGAGTTGGTTCTGTAATAGCCTTTAAGAAGTTTAAGAAGCTTAGAGGCAGGCCAGACTACTTTGAGAATTGGAACTTGAGAAGAGAAAATGCTTATTTTAGGAATATAAACCAGGCACCATTATAATTATAAATCATCCTTTTATTCTGGTAATTATTACTAAGTCTTCTAAGAGGCACTTCTGTGGACAGGGCACTACCATGAAAAGATGCAAGAATATTCTACATTTATGGATACAACTTTTGTTATACTGTCATGTTGACACAAGAACTAAGATGAATAAAAGTTCCAATGAAATGAATCAATTAATTCAAAGAAAAAAAATATTTAAAGAACATGAATGCACAAGCAATTGGGAGACTAAAGCTCTTACTACATAAGATACTGCAATTAACCCATTTTTCTTGTATAAAACATCTGCAACTACATGTGTCTATATTCTAAGGTTCTCAAGGCCTTTACAATTTAAACTTCAAACATCCTAGTATTAAATGGATATATTTATTCCAATCAGAAATAAAAGATGTAGGAATTGAATGCCTGTCAGTTGCAGAGCCACAGGTCCATAAGCCTCATTTCCCTTCTACAACTATTTTGAGGACCATATTCCTTATATTTGTGACACTTTATGTAAACTGAAGAAACAGTACAAAAACCTTATTTGTAAAGGCTACTGTATTTTGAGGAGGTAAATATCAGATGACATCACCTGTTCCAGTTAGAATCTACCACAGATTAAAAAAAAACCAAACCTGCAGATAGACATTTCAAAATTACAAATAACTCTCACAAAAGTACTGGAAAAATCTTAGATTCAATCACTGATCAGTGCCCCCTTTTTTTTAAATTATTTTTTCAAACTTGTCAACAGATTTGTCTGAAATTCAAGGCCTCAACTTTGTCCTATGCAAATGAACATCATCTAAGTTGTATGTAGGAAAGAGACAAATTCATACTGCCAGTCTAAGTATCAAGTTTTCACTCCAAAGCACAGTAGTAGTAATCCAAAATGAAGAACAGGAAGAAATATCCTGATTAATAGGTAGTACAGACAATTGCATAGTAAACGTTGCATATGAAACAACTAAGATATGCTCAGGTGATTAGTGTCCTTAACCCAAGCAGTCTGGCCTTTCAAGTGCATATTAGAAAATACATACACATATATAGAATATATAAGTTATGGGTCAGTTCTTATACGATGCTGCCAAATCTATATCCAAATCCATATCTTTATCCAAAATGTGACTTGCAGCCAACACATGTAACCACATCCTGGTTTGTCTGGTCCTAAGTGCAGTTTGGTGTTTTCACCCTGTAACCTGCAGCTAGGCTGAGACTTCAGTGAAGCATTTCATGGTTGCACTTCCAGTACTTGCACCATTTATAATGTCCTGTTTCCTATTTCTGCTCAAAGCAGCCTTGGATATCCTGGTAATTAAGACTTTTGCAATTATTCACTGGCATGTCACCTGTACTGGTAACTTACTGATCACATACTTAGAAAATCTTACAGGCTTTGAAATAGCTGAGCATTCTTACTGAATATTTAAACAGTTCAAACATTTGCTGCACTTCCTTCAAACATATTAAAAAAAAAATCACCTGAAGAGCACTGAAACCCTAGGCAATGTACCTTCCAGGAACATTTAACTACAACAGATTCTATGCACAACATCAGCAGGTAAACATGTACATTTCTGAATTCTTCTGTTGTTTGAAATAAATGCATCCACTAAAGAACAAGGTAGAGGCAGATTAATGAAATACAAGGTCCCTGCACAAGCTGCACATCTTTAGGGATTAAATTCCTTAATCTGTTGTAACTTGTCCCTTTCTAAGTGAACAGGACCAGCAGAGAAACATATCTGGTATACTGGTTGGGTGAACACTTGCAAAGATCAACATGAATATTGCTGATGGATCAAAGAATAAAGGTATCAATGAAATCTAATCACAGCATTTTTTCAGTTAGCCCTTTACTAAAGGATCAAAATACCAACATTAAAACTTAAAAACAGTACCTAAAACATCAATGGGTACCTTTATTCCATCTAAGACATAAGAAAGAAAAATATCTTTGAGAAAGAGAGAGAGAAAAAAGATTCAGAAATTATGTATTTGGTGAATAAAAAAACAAGAATTAAAGTAAAAGTGAAGAGAAAATGAAAAGAAGATGGGCTCCTATTTTCAAGGCTGTCAAAGAAAGCTCTGGAGTTTGCACCTATGTAGAATGTGAACTGTAAGAAACAAAGCTAACAGACCTTTCAGCCAAGCCCACTCAAAATATATTTGAATTTTAAAAGTTAAAACATATAAAAATAATGTTCACCGTATTATGCAAACATCTAAAATGCAAAATTTGGCTCTGCAAGTTGGACAAGGCACTTGGCTTGAGAGCCAGGTCTCTGGGTGCTGCTGGTCCTGCCGGCTGGCAAACCATTTACCCATGCAGGTGAGGCACCACATAGGACGACAGTAGCACTGCTGGCACTCTCCTTCGTTTGGCTCTTGGCAGTTCTTGATGAGCTTGATATTTGCGTTAGTCTGCATGCACCCTATGCACGGCTCCAGTTCCTGGGGGAGAAGAAGGATGTCAACACAATGAACTGCACAGACTGCTTCTTTTATTGCTTTCCAAAGGCTCTTAGAAAATTATCTCCACTTGAGCACAGCAGGAAGCTGAGCTGGACAGAGCCTCAAGGCAGAACTGCCCCACCAAAAGATACCGAACACCAGATACCGTCCTCAGAGTCATTTTATAGGCATACACGTGTTAACCAATAAGAACAAAGTAACTCTTTACACAACGAACATTCATAACTGCTACGTGAGGCAGATTAAATAAATGACTGTAAGCAAACTTTCCATATCTCTCTGGATCTGTTTCCAGAACACAGCAGCCAAGGCAAGCTAAACAAGTGTTGTTTCCACACAGTTAATGGATTAACTCACAGTTAATCACATGAACTTGCATTTGCATATAGGGAAGCTATTTCGCTAACTAATAAACAGTAACTCACATGTACTATGGGTTGTCCAGCCAAAGCTCTCCAACAACTTTGTACAAAGTTCAAGACCCAATATACCAAACATGCAAGGAGACCTGAAAGCTCTGAGAAATGAACCTAACAATATCTATTTTTACACTTATAAAACACTCACACATTATTTACCTTGTTAAGGTGTTTTAGTATTTTTGATTTATTCTCCTAAGATCTTTACTAGTAGTAAGACCGTGTGGTCTGTAGGTCCCATCTCCACACTGCCTCTTCCTTTGTCAACTCAAGTGTCCACTCAGCCAAATAGTCAGCTTCATTATGGAAGGGATTGCTTTCTTTCAGAAGCTGTCTGAGCTTGTAGCTTGTGAAATAGAGGCCTAACATAGGCTTTAGGCAGACAAAGCTCCAATATTGAAACTTTTTAAGCTTATGGAGCTTCAGAAGATGGGAAGATCCCACACTGTATTTTTAATCTCCATGTCATAGTTTTGTTGTTATTTACCACCTGGTATCAGTCTAAAACTTAGTACTAAGTTTATACTTAAATGTGTCAGAAATTAAAAGCCTTTGCAAGAAAGCAACTCTCTAAAATATGGGGTCTTTTTTTTTTTTTTTTTAGAATGAACAGCCCTTTTTCACAGCAGTTTGGATGCTCTGAACCACGCTATGAACAAACATAGCTATATTTTAGCTGGGTCATGTAACCATGCAGTGAGGGCACCATGTAAGCTGCCTGAGACTGCCTGCAATAACAAGTACGCGCTCCATCAGCTGGAGCATCTGCAACAGCCACACTGCAAGGTAACCAGAGCTAGTTCAATATACTGAACGGCGCTCTAGTCACATTTCTGACTGCAACACAAATACTATAATCACCAAGTCTCTAAATATTACTGAAGGAGGTATTCCATATTTCTTATTTACAATCAAAGTGAGTCCCAATTAAGAATCATTAATCTATTACAGGAAACGACCAGCAAAACCTGGCTTTCTAGAATATCAGGCTGTACTGGATAAAACTTCACAACAACACCTATGACTCTACCACCCCATAAACTTTCTGGAAACATTTCCAGATGTCTCAGGTAAACGGTTAATAGAAATCATTATAGGAACATTTTCCATTACAGTACTTCTCAAATACTTAATGCTCATAATATAGTTAGCTTTCTAGCAGAAGGCACAGAAAAAGAAGTCAGAATTATATTTATTATATGTTTACTGAATTGGAAGGTGAGCCATAAGCAAATACAACTATGAGACAGTAATCACAGGCTCACTTATATTTAAAATAATTATTACAGAATTATCGCAGTCATCAGTGAAAAAAAGAAGTCTCACCTGATTGCTTGGAGCAGGGTATGTCTGATTAATTTCCACTAGAGATGTAAAAGTTTCTAGAAATAAATCACTGAGGCTTTGATGGATCACAACATTGGCTGCATTAGTGATTGGAGCACGGAGCTTTTCACGGAGCTCCCCATACTCTGTGGAATTCAACCTGAAGAGATGGAACAAAAGGTTACCTTGGTTATCCATTCAAATATCTTGTTCAGTATATTGCAGAGGTTAACATCAGAAAAGTGAATTGCCAGAAAAGCTGTTGAGGTTGATGAAGATTGGTCAGAATAAATTTTAAAAGTTTTTTTTTGAGGGGCGGGGGGCAGTTAAGCTATTAAAAGAAATGTACATAAATTTTATTCTGTTTTCTCACAGATTAAAGAAAAAAAATGAAATACCTTTATTCTAGTTTTAATTTTTTGGCAGGCACCTATAGAGACAAGATGTTCAAAATTGTCTGTCATTTTAGCATGCTCAACTTAAACCACTTCTCATCCATTTTCTCCTAACTCTGGAGCTGAGCACTAGACTCCCACCAATTCAAATAGTTACATATACATTTCTGAATGTCACACGTGAGACTTCTGGACTGTGACACCCCAAAACCGTGAGCTCTTTTTCAAAGTACAATCCTTCATCCCTTATGAAAGGGATAGAGCTTTAAGACTAGCATTCTGGGTCAGGACAGATTTAACAACAGAAGAAGAGGACAACAGAACATGCTGTCCTCCTGCCTCAACCTACAGATATAAAATATTTAAATTCAGGATTTATGCCCAGCCCTTCCTTCATAGTTGGGTCAAACTGTCAACAGGACATACCAGAGATCAGTGAAAACATCATATGAAAATAAAGTTGTACTTGTAAACTAATTGGTTTAAACAAAAGATATACACGTATATAAATCATGCAGAAACTGTTAAATACTGCATTTTCTGTCTTCCTTGTTTATGCTTATTTATTTATATTACATTTAAACTCTCGTTGATAAGCTGCTGAGGACAAAGACCAGTTGTTATATCAGATATACCATATGTTGCATTTTTTAGATAAACATATTCTAGTTTATAAGCTGCTGAGGACAAAGACTAGTTATTATATATATCATATGTTGCATTTTTTAGATAAACATAAATAATGTTAATCAGTAACAAGCTTCTGTATTTTTATGATACAATTATACATTATAAAGGAAATTTTACAACTACATGGAGCTCCTGGATGAGACCTGAAATTTGATTTGAGGCAGTTTTCATACTATGTCACTTCTGCTACGGTAAATGTCTCTTAAGTAAGGTCCGCAGACTACCTGGGGCACACGAGGCCTTTTACAGACCTTCAATGAGATGTTCTTGCCACTGAACACTTTTTAATGAAACTGAATCTGAATGAACAAAATTTATGAAATGAATCTGATTTGCAGATTCTGGACTCCTAAACTCTATGTTTCCACTCATTAAACAGCTTTCATGAAAGAACCTGGGAACACTGCCCTGAAATCCCTCATTCTTCCTACCTCCACCTCAGTTCCCTGAGGAACAGATAGGGTACAGTGCAGCACTGGCTGAGCTGCAGCTCCAGGTGCCCTCCACTGTTTTAAGCGCTACAGGATAATACTGTTGTTTGCTAATAGATACTACCTCTGCAAATAACAAAGACCTTTGCATCGAGAGGAAAAACTCACATGCAAAACAGAGAGAAATGTGCTCTGTCTCCACAAAGGCATTTTTCTTTCAGAAAGATTCCACTGTATCCAATTATGGTAATAAATGATTCTATACTCTCAGGCAATTTTGTCCTGTTGCCTTTTTCTTAAAACCAGTATTCTAGTAGAGATTTGCTATTTCTGACAAGTCTTACTACAAGACCTTTTAAACCCTATTCTTGGTACTGATTTGTTTATCCACAAAAGGAAAAAACTCCTCCTCTCCTCTAAAGCAACTGTTTTAAAGAAGTCTTGATTTTCTCCATTGGGGATGCAGTTTTATCATTCTGGCACTGAAGCACTCACAGAAGAAATCCTTAGATGTTTGGTCACCACCTATACAATTCTATATAAATCTCTTCTCTTATTCGGTCATGCTTACCTTAACCCTCATTCCAGGCTCTGCTCACTTGGACCTAACACAATCATCCCATCAGCTTTCCCATGTTTGTCTGGACTCCTCTGTTCAGTCTAGTAATCACTTTACTTTTAACTACCTCTAAATACATGTTCCAGTCATCTGTTAAGAAAAGTTAATTGTTACATGAACTCTTGCTTTCTCCTCAAAACCTGTAAGACTCCATGATCCTGATCTCCTTCAAATAGTGTCCATTCTAACTAACTGCAAAAAAAAAGGTAACTGGATACTGCTATTGGTATACAAAAACTCAAATTGTCATGACTGTTACATTATGTCAAATTTTGTCTATCATTTAAAACTTAATATTTTAGTAATACCAACAGCCTACTACATGATATAGGGCTTTGGAGCAAACATGCTCAAGTATCTTTACAAATTTATAGTTTCAGGAACACAAGCATGGCTTTGTGCACTCCCTTCAATGACATCAAAACATGTATCAGCATCCGTCCAACCAAGGGCATTCTTGTTTTAAGGTTCTGCAGAACTTGCATTCTTGTCAAGCTCAGGGACTGCTAAAACAAAAAAAAAACGAACAGCACAGGCCCTTGGAAAACAAGCACTAACAATCTCCAGGACATTTTCCATGATTTACAACTACTAGGATACACAAATCAAAGGTGACCTTAAATTACTTCCTTGTTTCACTTTAAGTGCAATTGGTTTACAATTCAGTGAAGACTCTTTCAATCAGAGACTAAATTATGAGTCTTAAGCAGGAGGAGGAAAAAGGAAGTCATAGATGAGCAATGCCCAGTTTTACACAAATCATTATTCCTTTTCCCAAAAAATTGGGAGATGAGAGACACTCCGTTTTTTTTCTGTTCTCCATCTTTCACCCAATTTTTTTCCACTTATTTCCTCCTACCTCCACCACTATTCTTAGGAACCCTATAAGACAAAACCCTAGAGTTCTTCACACCTTCCAAGAAGCACTCCATTATTAAATAGCACACATATAGCATAACGGTGGAGTGTATTTTGTTTTACCGAATATCAAACGCCTTCACATAGGGATTAATACTGGCAACACGGATGGTGAGGAACTGCACGGGCACGTTGGAGTCTGGTGAGAGTTCGTGCTGTCTGGAGTCCGTCACCGTCAAGTGAACGTCCTGCTGCTGGGCAACA